TTGTGAATATATCTTCCAAATTTCAATTCCACCAAAACCTCCCAGCAAAATGAATGAACTTCCATTAATAAGCTAAAGTCAGCGTGCTAAACTAAACTCAGCATGTTAGCATTGTCATTGTTAGCATTCTGGCATTACAGATCTACTAGCATGGCTGTAGACTCTTTTACAGTTCACAAATTCAAACCAAAAGTTTTGCACACTTTGCTCACCATACAAAACCGAAAAATTCAATAAACTCACTATACCCCTTAAACACTGGGTTCATGTGAAGAAACTAAACAAATCATTTTCTTTTTGTGCAGCTATGCGGTCTAGCACTGATCGTGGTGGGAATCCTGGTTCAGATGGCTCTGCACAACACACTAATAATCCATGATGCGACAGCCTCTGGAGCTCCTATCGTTGTCATCGTAGTCGGTGTGGTGATTTTCTTCATCGCCTTCTTTGGCTGCTGTGGAGCCTGGAAAGAAAACTACTGCATGGTCACAATGGTAATTCATAAAGCTCATTATCATCAAAACAAAGAAAGTTGAATTTTGAGTGAAATTGTATAAACTACACTACACTTAGTAGAGTGCACTGAAATGCACACCCTCACAAAGATATCACCCTGAGATAGATGATTGTTTTTATCAAGATCCAAGATGCAATGTTAAAGAAGGTGAAAAAATCATTCCTGGCTCTTACCCTTTGTCTGGATCTGGGCCGAGATTTAATGTTTTCTTTCTTGGCCTATGTCACACCCTTCCATTAAGTTGAAATCCTTTCAGTTGTGTTTGTAATCCTGCTGAAAAACAATCAGACGGGTGAACATATAACCTCCACAGTGGAAGTAATAACACAAACGTCTGGTATCATAGAAAAATATTTAAGTTGTGAGTATTTTTCTTTTCTCCCTCCTCTGCAGTTTGCCATCCTTCTCTCACTGATAATCATTGTTGAGATTGCAGGAGCTATCGCCGCATACATCTTCAGAAACAAGGTGAGTGTAGAAAGTCACAGTTTTGTGAGTTATGTAAAACCCTGCAGAAGGTGTGGTTTAACGTCAGCTGCCATGTTGTGTCTCCCTTTAAGCTCTCAACTGTCGTCCAGGATAGCCTCACTGAAATGATTTCCAGTTACAACAACAGCACAGATGAATTCAGAGACACCGTGGATAAACTGCAGAAGGATGTGAGTTCATTGTGAAGCCTCTTCGGCAATATTTACTGACAACACCTTCACATAACACCGCTGCATCCTGTTGGTTGCTGCTGCTGACACCACCTTGTTTTTCTTTGCACCATCTGTTGACACAAGTTATATCCTTTTACTTTACATTGGTCACGTGCAGCCTTGTAGCTGGCATGTTAATATTGAATGTTCTTTTTCATTTGACTCATTTTCTTCTAGTTGAAATGCTGTGGTGTGAACAGTTCCTCTGACTGGAGAAGCTTCAAACCTCAAGGAAACTCTGTGCCTGACTCATGCTGTGTGAATGTCAGTGCAAACTGTGGAAATGGGACCATGACAGACCCTGCCAAAGTTCACCAGAAGGTATTGTGACTTCACGCTCTGTTGTCAAATTAATATGCATGAGATTACTTAATCCTCAAGATTTCAGTCCCGAGGTTAGGCAGCACTTTCCTCTAACAACCATTGGAACCCATCTGAGGAGCAGCTGGTGTATTTGTTTACAGCGCAGACAAAGTCCGTCCAAAGTTATAATTTTATTGTTAGTTTTAATACCACATTTATAAAAAAAAAAATCTACATGTATGGGTTGATGATGCCACCTAGTGTTCCAAACGGTCTCAGACCCTTCAGGATCAATGCTTATGTAGAGTCAGCAGTTTCAAATCATGACATTTATATATATTTGAGAAAGTGAACATCCTCCGTCAGGAAACTTCAGAGGCGAGAAGCCCTCTATTATCTATCATACAAGTGTTGTTGCTCATAGTGTGTGTGTGTGTGTGATTTCAGGCCATGTATATAAAATAAACTTCAAACAATGAAAAAGTAACGTTGACAAAACACAGATGTTGAAAAGAAGTCAGTGTTTCACCCAGAGACAAAGCGTCTCTTAAAAAAATCTTCTGTCGGCAGATGGACTCTAACGTCTGTGTTTCTCTGATGCAGGGTTGTCATGATGCTTTGGAGGCGTTCCTGAAGAAAAACATCCTGTGGGTGATAGTTGCAGCTCTTGTGATTGCTCTCTTGCAGGTATGTAACAGAAGCACGACACATATGTGTTTGTCTTAACTGTACTTTTTTTTTTTTGCATTCTATTCCTTACGTTTTAGCATATTTCTCTCCACTCGGTGCCAAAGCAAGACGCACATGTCTTCACTAGTTTCAGACACTGTTCTCATTTTCCTATCCAGCGCCACATTGTTTGAATAGCTAATGCACTGATCAAGGTAATAATATACAGTATAGATATATGGTAGATGGTCTGCTCACTTCACACTCAGAGCTCAGAACCAGTTGTGGGTCAGTCCATCTGTGTCTGTGTCTCAATCCAATATCGTGAATTTAAAATAAATCTAAATATCAACATCATCTGGTGGCACTGCGAGCTGTGGTTTGACCCACTTGCCTGCTGTAGTTTATTTGAGGACGTAAAGGAAGACACGTTATGTATATACTGTGTGTGTGTGTGTGTATATATATATATAGAGAGAGAGAGAGAGAGTCCCTCTTATAACTAGAGTGTGTTCTCCTCATAGATTGAACTGTTGTGTTTCTCTCTATAATATTCTAAGATCTTGACCATAAATATTTCTCCTCTGTGTTCTCGTTCCAGATAATGGGCCTTGTTTTCGCCTGCGTATTGATGAGAGGCATCCGCAGCGGCTATGAAGTCATGTGATCCAGCTTCACATTGTAATGAGCAGGCTGTTCATGTCACACTTACCGGGAGCTTCATTTGTAAACATAAATATGTTCATCCTATAATTAAAGTTTGATACACAAAACTATATATTTAGTGTGAATGATGAGTCAGTATTCATGTTTTGTCGTGAGACAAAGTGTCTTAAAAGAAAGCCAACCTCTGCAGTCAGTAGATTGACTCAAACTTTTCTGTTTCTCTGATGCAGGGTTGACTTATGAGTCTAATTGTGATTTGCAGGTTTGGGTTGCACAAATAAATTTTGATTGTTGGAGTGATCACGATGCTGTGGAGGTTTTGCTGAAAAAACCCATCCAACTGTTGATGGTTGTAGCTCCAGCTAATGCTGACTCAGCATTCAGGCTATTGTTTTCCTGTTCTTTATCTTCTTCTCCTGCTGTAAGTTTTTGCATATGTTGTTGGTTTTTTGGACCTGTCTTGGCGTCGAATTTGTTTTTATGTTTTGCTGGTTCCAGGCTGCAGTTTCTGTTTCTATTAAAGACTTAAAATTCCATCTTAATTTGCCGTAAGTGTTTATACAAACAGAGAATCGATAGACCATGTAATAACAATGTCGTGTAGCACCTTTCAAGAACAAAAGTCACAAAGTGCTTTACATGCAAAACACATGAACAAAGGGCAAGTAGAGTTTACACACAAACATTAGAAGTGGACATTTTAAAACAAAGCAAGTGTAAACAGATGAGTCTTGCTCTGTAAATGTCCACAAAGTTTACAGAATGTAAGTTGAAGAGAATTAGAGTTGGAGCAAAAACCTTAAAGGTCCAGTGTGTAAGATTTAGGTGAAAGGGAACTATTGGCAGAGATTGAGTGTAGAATAATCCTCATGATATTTCCACTTGTTCGTTTCATCTAAATTGTATGAATTGTAGTTTAGCCTACTCTGGAAAAGGCCCTTTATAATTAAATACTTTATATTTACGTCGAGGGGACCCTCTCTATGGAGGCCGCCATGTTTTTTACATTAGTCCCGATTGGACAAACTAAACACCTTCTGAGTTTTTTATGACAACTGAAGGCTACCACAGTTTCTTCTTCATGTTTGGAAGGAGAGGGTGAGGTGAGGGGTGTTCAGCTGCAACATGCACACTGTACCTTTAAATGCACAGTGTCCTTAGATCTTTAGTGTGGAAAGATCAACAGTCCCTGATCTGACCTCAGAGTCCTGCTGTTCTTATGCTATAGGAGCCGGACATGTAAAGCTTTACAACCAGGATCTTGAGCTTCAACCCTGTATGTTATAGGAAGCCAGTGTGAAGGCCGGAGGATTTTGGATTGGGGTGATACGAAATCAAGAATAAATCTGTTTCTCTTTTCAAAGCCCCGAAATCTTTTCAGTTGTCTTACATTTCTTAAGATCATTTTTTAAAATCTAAATTTAATCAGTTTCCTGCTGCTCACCTTGTCCGTGTCATGTTTATTGATTTGAAAACTAGGTATTGTCGTTATATAAATGCAAAAACTGCCAAAAAGGTGCTGGAGTTGATCCGTCCACTTAGAGTATACGTTTGCACCGGCGAGCCCCAGCGGCAATAGGCATTATGTTTAGTATATAGAATTTGGTGGCCTGTAGAATTTAACTTAATCTCAAACTACATCTACAGCGATGTTTGAAGTAAAATACTGTAGTGTAGGTGCAGTTCTTGACGGTGTGGCTTGAGGTGCCACAGGCTCAAGCCACACCCCAAATTATGCATTCCGCATTGTGGTTAGAGGGTTTAACTGGAGCCTCACACCATGCCCCCCAATTGATTTCACTTGATACCAGCAACACAGAAATTATTCAATCCAATTTCCATTTCATCACAACATGGTGGAGACAGATTTCTAAGTGGCTAGGTGTTTTTAATTGGGCAATTTCCTCCTGTCAACCAGCTCCATAGACTGGCATGGTTCGAAATATCTATTCACCCAAAGTTAGCCATCATGTGTCACACCCTATGTTTACCCGCTGCCTGTGTTCGTGACTTTTATGATCAATGGAATTTTCTGCCAGGCAAAGAAGAAGAGCAACAAAGCAGCCTCAGCCACACATTTGCAATTGCTTGAGGAATAATCCATTGTCAATTGCATTGTAATACACACAGAAATAAAAATGTTGAAGCCTGAAGAGCAGATCCATATATTTACCACCTTGGTAACTGTACAGGTTTTCAAAATGAGCGGTGCTCTGAAGAAGTCGCCATCCGAGAACATTGCCAACTGCTCAAAACAACTGATCAATCAGATACTGGAAGGACTCACTCTACCGGAGGGTTTTTTTCCAGACATGAACATGTCAAAACACTTGGCAAAGGTTGTGCTGAAGAATCTTCAAAAGCAGTTTGATGGTCAGGATGTAAAGCAGGCCCTTCTGACGGAGGATCCAGATGTGAAAGCTAAAATCTTGCAGTGTTTTCAAAAAGACATCTCTGATTTTTCTCAGCAATCAAGAAAGGAGCGTTACGACCGATTCTACAAATGGATCTGTCTGGTTGGAGCAATACTGGGGGTTATCATGTTCATTGCAGCCATCGTACTTGCTTCAATACCATAAAATCAGCAGGTTCACTGTATATACATTTAATATGCTTTTCTTCTCTGTCAGAAATGTAAACAAAGTCTTAAATTGTTATCAAAGAAAAACAAAACTTTATCTTCTGGGGAAAAATGTCTGGTACATGGTTTTACTCCGGCTGCTGCAGTTTCCTCCCATGTTTTAAAGCAAAATGTTTTAAAATAAAATACTTTTACAGAATGTTATTTTTTAAATCAATCATTTACAACACTGACTCATAGGCACACCAGTATGCAATGGAAGAGAGAGACTAACAATGTTAAGGGATATTATGGAGAGAGAGAGAGAAGGAGAAAACTAAACGATTAGACACATAAAATGGAATTTGAATATCTCTACAGGATGTATATATTCACCTAGTGACAAGGGATAAAAGTCACCTGCGATTTAACTCACGATTAGATACGAATAGAAATAAATACAAACCATAGATCACATCAATTTAAAAATGTTCCATCAGTTGTGTATTCTTTAATATTGATCAGAATCTGTGTAGATGTCAACACTTACTATTTTCTGTCATTGCAACAAACTGCTGCCTGTGAATCAGTAGTTAATCTTGTTAGTCTGTTCTAGTAAAACAAGCTTTAGTTATTACTGCATGACAGTCACAGGGCTCTCCATCACCTGCTATGGGGAGGTGAGGAGCAGGTTTGAGAACAGTGCATCTTTTCACTCTGATGCATTTCATGCAAAAACGCCTTGGCTTTTGAAGTTTCAAATTCAATGGCTTCAATGCACTTGGATGAGTTTCTCAGACACAAACTGTTATTTAGATAAGCTTGCTCCATGGTTTCACTGTGCTAGAGGCTGCTGTTTCTATTTCATTAGAGACTTTAAATCAAATCTTAATTTTCTGCAGGTGTAAATACAAACCGGTAGAAATAATGGACCATGTAGGTATTTATTTCAGATACAGTACAAGCATTATAAATAGTATTGGCACAGCAACACCACATTCAAAACTGGAGCAAATAATATCAAATACTTAAAAAAAGATCCATAACTTTTACAACTCATACTGCAGATGACATTTCCCATTTCACAACAGCAAACCCCTGCACAAGGGACGTGCACTTCCTCTTTGTACCATCACCCTGAAGTCGGCAAAAACCTTGAATGAAATGTGCTCACGTGTTCTGACCAGGACAGTTAATGTCATTCAGCCCCTAAAGCAAGAAAACATCTCGTAAACAAAGTAAAGTGCCATCACAGCAGATCTGACTCGTACAACAAGTTCAGCTTCTCATCCAACACACCAGCATGAATGTTTTTCGAGTTCCTTCCACCAAGGCTCTTATAAGGGTTATCTACCATTTTGCCATGACCAACATTATCCACAGTAAAAAAATATATGAGCAGAGTACAAAGTGAGGTATCGGAACATAAAGCAAAAGTGAATGTGAATATTTAACCCACATAAAGGGTCTGTGTGGATTGTTATGAATGGAATGTGTCCAATCAATTTACCACACAAGCAAAATATTAACAGATCACAAAGTTCTGCTGAACTGTCACTCGCAATCTCCTCTTTGTCTTTGCAGCTTTGTAATGTGCGTTAGCTTGGAAGTAAACAGATGTCAAGTTTGTGCCTTAAAATGATAAAAAAAATTAACAGCAACAAGAAATCACGATATTAGCTTAACATCACCACTTAACATAGTTCAGTGCATCATAAACAGTAAAACTGCACCAAGCGAGATTTTAAGCCAAAATATACTTCTGAGATTGTCCTTATGTCAGAGTAGAGATGTCGTGGCTAAGACAAGAACTTTAATTGGCAAACAGGACAATGCTACAGCGTTTAGCAATGGGTTGGTTTTCTTTATTGGCAGACCCACGTTTCCTTGTTTGCTTTTTATTTTCCCATAGGATCTTGCCAAGAATATTTTTGTTGATGTCAACAGATCTGTAGGATGTTTTTCTGCCCAGTGCACGAATGATCACAAAACAGACTTCTTCTGGCTTCCTGTCAGTGGGACCTTTTCACAGCATTCGGGTAGTTGGCAGAGAGAAACACAATGTTGTGCAAAAGCAGGGAGACCTCTGACTCTGCAAAAAAAAAGCAGCATAAAGATAACATGGCATTTTACAAAAGACAGACCCATCACTAGCACAGGGTTAAAAGAATAGTTTGTCATTTTGAAGAAAAGATAAAAGCAAAAAGTCTACTTACTGAAATGTTGAACTATTCTTTTTGATATTCATCAAAATGAAAAATACCTTTCAACGAGCAGGAAACCTGAAGCCACTGGGATAACCACTCCTGGCACTGGTTAACACCTAGACTGTCAGAGTTGAGTCCTCTAAAATAACAAGCCTAGAGGGGGTCAAATCATTGGTAAGTACAGTTTACAGAGGGCTGAACATTGTTTGGCTGGTGAGTACACATTTATACAGAGCAGCGGCGGTTTTAGGCACGGGCGAACCGGCAGCCGCCCGGGGCAGCATTTTTTCATGTCACGTGGGGGGCGGCACAAGCACTTAAAAAAAACATCTGCGCCACAAAACCGTTTTCTATTATCTATCATGTCACAGTGTGTGGGGAATTGGCAAATAGGCACCACTGCTTGCTGAGAAGGTGCCGCACGGTGCACAGAAGCTGTGTGAGAAGGGGAGGGGCGGGCGGGGGACAGTTCACCTCTGTGTCTCCCAAATAGGAACGGACAAGGGGGGGGGGGCACTAATACACTAATGAATCTTCCAAATAACGCACATCTCATTAATGTTATAAATACAGGCCTATAATTCCTGCACGTTTTTCTGAATTGTGTGAAATGGCTAATTAAAATAGGTGATACAAAACGATTACGTGGTCACCCAGGTGAATCGGTTTAGTCTTGACTGGTCGTGAGTGACAGTGTTGGGGGATGCTATTTAGAATATTGATTCTATATTTTATTTGTATATTGTTAATTCTTTAAATTTTACATTATTGTTGTTCTCTGCTCTTGTTACATATTTTTTATATATCCGATTGTATATATCTGCCATTTTTATGTATATAGTGTCTATTTATTTAAGTTCTAATAACTTCTACTGTTTTGTCTCACGTAAATAGTTATAATAAAACACTGGCTGTTTCTGCAAAGATTTGTGTTTATTTTTGGGGGGGGGGGCTCGGAGGGGGTTTGCCCAGGGAGTAACTCAATGTAGAACCACCACTGATACAGAGCGACTGACCTGTCGGAGTTCAGATTCACTGAGCTGATGAGGGCCCATCCTGCTCAGGGCGCGGTCCAGCTGCATGAGCTCAAAGGCGTGACTGTTCAGCCTCCGGCCGATCAGGAAGCCAGGGAGGCGAGGCGTCAGGAAGAGCAGCCGGCTGATACGCCTCTGATTAACCATGAAGGAAACAGAAGAGGCCGTTCGTCTTTAGTGTTGTTCAGTTTCACCGAGCCCTTTGCATTTGATTATCAACCGTATGAGCAGTTTGTTTTGTGCAGGATGTGAATGAGGAATGGAGTCTCACTGACCATGTGATCCACCCTCATCCGCTTTATGCCCAGAGGAGGTCCAGAAAACAGGCTTCGGACAGCAAGGATTTCAGACACTTGAGGGTTTGATCCACTTTTCACCTGAAAATGCACCAAAAAAAACTCTCATGCGTTCCTTGATAGAGGATCAGCCATTACAGTTGTACTCAAATGTTTAAGCAAATGACATATTTTTTCCAATAAATAAGCAAATTAGTAAATATAGGTTTATTGAGTAATTTCACATGGATGAGGAAATATTTGTGTTTCATCAACAAATATAATCTCTTACTTTAGTGCACAGATCTTTTAGGCGACTCTGAAGCTGACTGTCTTTGACTTTGTGGCTGGTGTGCTCGAGGCCTTTGAGCACTGGCAAGTGTTGCCGCGCCCTGAGGGAATTATACACTCTCCGAAACTCTACCTGCTGCCTGGCAGTCCAGAAGTGAGGGATCAGGAGCTGGCGGGGGAAAAAGTACCTGACATTGAACAGGTGGGGATGACAGGAGAGAGAGGTGAGACACATGGAGGGGTGTTTAACAGTTCGAATTGCTTTGCTGAATGTGAACCAAAGGATGCCAAAACTAATTAAAAGATGATTATCACAGTAACTCACATCAGGACAAAAACCAGGTAGTTGGCAAAGGGAGGGATGGATATCATCACCAGCGGGACAGCTTTGATCACGTCTCTGCGAAACTGAATATATTTATGAAGGTAATATGGTTGATATTTGTATCTTAAAAATGATATCACTTAAGAATGGATATCAATATATAATATATTAATATTAATAAATCATATCAAATATACATCAAACTGACCCACCTGTCTAAGTTTCTCCATCTCTCTGTAGGGCAAATCCTGGAACTTAACTCTAGCAGTGAACATCTTTACTTTTATCCTCCTCACTTCTTTGGCATCTTGGTACAGTAACTTAAATCCTTGAGTGAAACAATGACAGCAATTAAATGTTCAGTTGGTTAATGGTGATAAAAGATATTGATGAAACAATGGGTGCATGAGCCATGTTCAGCCCACAACACATTAAAGTGCAGTATCACTTGAACAATCCAGAGTATATCCCAATATCTCAGAGAAAAGACAACCATGGTTTTACCTTCCACAAAAGTATGGTAGAGCTGATAAAAGCTGGGAAATCTTCTTTTGAGGAACCCTTCATACTTGCTATTTGCTCGTTGAAGGCGGGAGGTGACGTATCGACCAATACCATGATTAACTTTGGATGTTGAGTAGATTCTACACAGAGGTAACCTGGAAATTTAAAAAAGCATATGCGTGAGTCCTACTTTAAGTTTGTCTTGGTCCAGTTCACAAAGAACGGTTGTGTGCCTCCGCCAACCAGTGCAGTTTCCATGTACATATTTCGACATCTTGGGGACCTTTGACCTTTCACACGTAATCACTTTATCTGAAATCTCAGTCCAAGTGAAACAAAAGTTGAAGAACAAAGGAAAGTACACTCTTCTTATGTCACACATTTTATTTACACTTTTTTAAAGCTTGTGAACAAAGATGAAGAAAAATAAAAACACATGGATCTTCAGGAGTATGAGAATAAAAAAACTCATAATTATACGTGAACAAAACAAAATGTTCCAGTTTAACTGGTGATCAGGTTCACTGGTTTTCTTTGTCTGCATTGCAGCCTCTCTGAACAAATGTCAAATGTTCGATGTTGATGCAGATTTGCAGATTCGTCAAATCCACAAATGATCGTTTATATGATTTAAAAGAAATAAATGGCGGACATAGATAACACAGAGGAACCACACCCCCTGACACCGCTGTTTGTGTCCCCCGAGACAACAATGTTGTTTAGGTGAGACCTTCAACATGTTCATCAACACGTCACAGATGTCTTCAAGTGGAACTCAGATATTAGAGATAAAACAAACTGGTCACCAGTCACTTAGTTTAGCTTAGCACGGCTTCCGGTGAGATGTGAGTAAAACTGGGGGACAAGTCGTGGACAAGTGAAGCTGGAAGGATTCAACACTCACCTGGACTGACAGGACACAGGTGGAGAATAGAGGACGGTCGCTGTCCCGTTTGTCCTGAGGACAGACAGTCTGACCAAAGACAAACGGCGACAGAGGCTCGAACAGGACAGCGCCATGTTGAAGCGCAGTTACCGTAATGACGCTCATATACAGTAAAGAGAACAGTTACCGTAATGACGCTCATATACAGTAAAGAGAACAGTTACCGTAATGACGCTCATATACAGCAAAGCACACAATTACCGTAATAACGATCATGAACGATAAAGCACACAGTTACCGTAATAACGCATATGTGAGTTAAAACAAAAAGTTACCGTAATAACGCTCATAAAGAGTAAAGCACACAGTTACCGTAATAACGGATATAAGTTACCGTAATAACGCTCATAAACAGTAAAGCACACAGTTACCGTAATAACGGATATAACTTACCGTAATAACGCTCATAAACAGTAAAGCACACAGTTACCGTAATAACCGATATAACTTACCGTAATAACGCTTATAAACAGTAAAGCACACAGTTACCGTAATAACCGATACATTTTCAAACATTTTGGTTCCCGCAGGTGAGGATGGATTGGTGTTCAAACAGGAAGTGACGTAGCTTCGAACAACTTTAGACCACGTGAGGGGCGGAGCCTCCATCGAGAGAGACTTCGCTGCTGCAGGAAAAAAAACAAACCGGGTCTGGAAACACGACTTCACCACGAGACTACACTTTATCTGTGAAGCTTCAGGTACATCCAGGAAGATGCACTCAATGCTCAACAAACACATATTCTCCTTGCGTGTTTTAAAGTCTTAAACTCATTTGCAAACGTTGATATTGATAATTGTTACTGTTTGAGCGGTTGGGCGCCTTGCAACGGTTTTGTTTGCGAGCCTTGTCTCCTCCATGTTAGCTTCAGGGACACGGTTTGTCTCATGTCTCCATGTAAGGTTCGGGGACACGGTTTGTGTCCTGTCTCCTCCATGTAAGCTTCAGGGACACGGTTTGTCTCATGTCTCCATGTAAGCTTCAGGGACACGGTTTGTATAACTCCGAGAGACACTTTGAACCACAGTTTAAGTTGCAGCGAAGTTGAGTAAAATCCGTTCAGTCCCTCGCAGAGACGCGCCAGTTTTGAATGTGTGCGACAAGAAAAACGACAACCAGTGAAACTAACACGTGACAGAACATGTGGCCCAGCTGCGGGATCACCTGCAGAGAGTAAAGGAGCACGTGCTAAAGTTTGGGCTCCTGCAACTTCACAGGAAAAGACACAGACAGCACAGACACAGCCCGAGGCCCAAAAGACGAGGACATTGTTGAAAAGAGTGAGGAGATATTTTAGTTAAATGAAAGCATTTTCCCCACAAAGGTTATTCTACTAATCCTTTTGACCATCTGAAGCAGAAACGACAAAGCTAGTGATTCGATTTGCATCGTGACAGATATCGATATCTACTGATAAGAGTTCCGACTTGTTTTCAAACGCTGTGTTCTTATTTAGCAACATGTTTCTTTGTTTGTCAAGATTTCCAGGCTAACCTTCATCGTGTGTCTGATCTTCCCAGCTGACCAGTAGGGGGCGTCCTCACCAGATCCCAGTTCAGAGATGGCGAACATGTTCAAGTTTGGAAACACCATTGGTCCATGCAGGACTGGTTTTATTGAGGGGGCACAGCGGGCAGAGGAAACGGGTAAAACTAATCATAGCAACTCACATTTTCAGCGGCTTTAAATGTTCCATGTTTTGGTCAGTGTTAACGGCTGAATGCTTTCACGTTTTTCTGTTTTGTTTTTTTTTTAGATGAGAAAGGAAGCCTTGACCCAGACAGACTTTTGCAGTGCCCTTTTGACAAGAACCACCAGATCCGGGTGTGCCGCTTCCCTTACCACCTTATAAAGTGCAGGAAGGTGAGTCGAGCACTTGTATTACTGCATCTATTGGCTGTTTATGAAAACACAAATGTCTGAGTCAGTTGCCTTTAGACTTTTTCAAGAACTTATCCTGCCAACCGCGTAGTAAAATGTCCGAGTGAGCCCATGTGAGAATACAGAAGGAAAATATCTGGAATATTCACAGCGAGTCAGCAAGTGGGAGTGGAATATGTCCAGAGTTCATAGCTGAAATGGCTTCAGTGATTTATTTTGCATATACACCAGTTTACTTGGCTAAACAAATGCAGTTTAACACAGCAGGCCTGCAGTAAATGTATATATGATAAAATATTCTAAGGAGAGACAGCTATTTCTAATAAACTACTCATCCATGTTGGCCTAAAAGTTCATTTTGAACTCGTAAAGAGGAGTTTACAAGTTTCTTGTGTTTTTTTTAATCTAAGAAAATCCCAACCAGACCACAGATCAGTGGTTGTTTCATCACATTAACAGTGAGAAGTTGCCAGAGCAAACATAAAATGAAGCATGGAAATTTCAACCATTTTGTTATTTTTCTGTCTCATGAAAATTCAGAGAAATTAAACACTGAAGAGGAACTTTTTTTCTTTTTGGAGTTGTATGAATTGACGCGCCTCATGGCACGACAGACACGTGCACGTTTAACTGTTCAGCTTATCTCTCACTGATGCAGAATCATCCAAAGCTGGCCCGTGAGCTGAAAACCTGCCCCTTTAACGCTTGCCACCTCGTTCCCAGGCATGAGCTGACCCGCCACACTGAGACCTGTGAGAACAGAATATCTCTGGACCCTGCTGCTGTCGGTGAGATTTTCACTTCACTGTCTCTTCCCTTTCCCTGCAGATGGAGTCAGTGTGTGATCTATTTGAATGCTGCTGTTTTTACAGGTGAAAGCACCAATGGACACGTTAAATGGCAGGTCCCAGCCAGCACCTGGGTGAACCCGAACATGGTCGAGAACTGGGATGAAGGTATTATTAAAAGCCACAACTTATTTCTTTTTATGTACTAACCTGTCGAATGCATGAATAATAGCTCGTCTGCTACACATGTTAAAGTTGTTTCATTGTGAAACACATAATTTAACTGCAGAGCAGCTGTTGGTAAAGATAACAGGGTCTGCAACACTTGATTACCCATGTTACACTTTCCACCGGAGGCCGAGGCCGATGCCGCTCTAAGGCTTTGAACACACAAGGTAACAGTGTTTTGTTTTGCAGAGATCGATGATGAGGCTCCCACATTCACATGGGGTAAAAACACGGCCTTGAATCAAAAGTAAGTGTCCTGCTCCACCTTGCTGACGCAGCACTCGTTATATCTGACAAGGAAGTTAAGTTTTCATTTCTATCTGCTTGTCTGACTTCAGGATTACAGAAAAACTAGGATTTTATTGAAACATGGGGGCAGGGTGGGGTATGGGCCCGGCCCGCACTGGATGCGTGAGCGCAGTTCGCTGCAAAATAGATGGTGAAAAAGATCTTTGATCACAGTTTCAGCGCCTCGCTGTCAAATATGTCTCAGAAATAAATAATTACAACACTTCCTGTTTCAAAGTAAATGAACTGTAGCATTTTGATTGACTGAATCTTTTTCACTTTCCTTAATATTATGAGATGGGGTGTTTTTGATATTTTTATGACTTTCTTCAGGAATGATACAGAGATGAGAAAAACATCAGGCACATTTATGGGACTGGAATCTATGAGTGTTGAATTTTGCTGTGGGGCCATTTTATTTGGAGCATATTTTCTTTGGTTTTTAACTTTTGCTTTGTCTCGTCTATCTGCAGACCCAACTTTGCCACCATCAATGGTCCAAGTCTAAAAGGGCCGGGTGTCCTCCCAGGGCCGCTATTTAACCAGTAAATTAGTTGCGCTAACCTCCCAGGTGCTAAGTGTAGTCCTATGTTTTAAATTTGGTTTTAACAAGTTTTGTATCTTACTAGGTCTAGTTTGCAGATATCTCATTTTTAGTAGCATGATGTGACAAATAACCTTAAGTAGCAAATATTGATTTGTTTTCTGTACTGTCTTGTATTAACCCCTGTTACTGTATCAAAGGTTTGCTTTGAAATTGCGTGTTGTTTACATTAAAGGAGTTCAATTTGAAATCCTCTTGTGTTGACTGTCGGTTAATGAAACAGAATCGTATGTTGGGTCACCTGATTGAAAATGTGAGCAGCTCGTTGATAATTAAGCTCAGGCCGAAGTACCCGGATCCTTAAGTTAAAGCAATTATGAATCCAGCTTAAGATGCAATACAATCACAAACAAAAATCCTGCGTAAGTATTTTCAGGTTAACAGAATGGTTTGTTTCATAGTGATTTAATGACGTTACTTGATTAATGGAGAGTAATGTGTAAGCAACATTTTATTGGGGGAGATTGTTTTAGCTAAATATCAAAAAACTGAAAGAACATTGTGAAAAGAGAAAAGACCCGAAACAGTGTTTTGCGTTAAAAGCGAACTGTAATATTCTTTTTACAATGACGCATCTATCCATGTGTCGTAGAAACTACAGGACCAAGAGTTGGTTCTGGGCTAAAATAACTTGATAAATGATTTCTGCTATGGCACAAGTGCTTCAAGGCGATCATTTATTTTGAGTTGAAATATCTTTAAATTTCTAGAGAAACCAGTTTCTACAGCTGTCAGAAGATTGCAGTAAGGTTTAAAACAATTGGCATCTGAAATGCATTGAAGCTGAAGTATTAAGAAGCAGAAGATTAAAATACTTATTCTTAATTAGCACTGATTTGAGCACAATGCCTGAATACATTTATTTAGTTGCTAGAGAAAAATACAGTGGGTCTAATGCTTTAATCTGTACACAATGTCCGGCTGCAGTGCATGCAAGATATTTGAAAATTGAGAATTATTGATCAAAGAAATAAAATGCTATGAGGAGACTCTTCAAACATGTGTCATAGCACGACCACTAGTTGGCACTACTTGTCCATTTTTAACCGAGAAGCAGCACAAACCGTGACGCTGACTTTTCTGCCCACGTTCTTTTGAAATGTGATTATTTTTGCTTTTATCTTCTATGAAATGAAATTGCTCCTCAAACGTTTTTAGTTATGGAAGGTAAAAAAATACCAGATTTGGCTGCTGAGAAACGTGACCAGGTGAAGGCTGGAAAGGATTCAAAGTGAGGAGTGGGTGCCAGGGTAATCCATGTGTGAGGGTGTCCTGCCAGCGCTCTGTCTTATCTAAGTGGCATTATTGACTTCATGTGATGATGGTCTATTTTAGCTGTGGCTATTATTGGAAGTGTTCAAACAAGCTCTGTACTGTGCTGTAAGGATCAGATATGACTCCTCAGGACTCAGAACCTGGAGTCTGTGCAGGGGCCTCGAATAGTTCGAGGGACCACTGCGTCTTCTCTCATGAACTGTTACTATATATGCATATAGAGTGCTAACTGAATGAGAGCAACCTGAGCTGGTCACTGAGCAATCTTCAACGACATATCAGCCCCCTGCAATCTAAAGCCGCTGAAGTTTATTGGTTCTCAGCATGAATATGATATGAGAATAAATGTTCTCAGAGTTTTAAATACTGTGGGCGTTTATCACTGATAATTGTTGAGTCGTCACCGTCTTTATAAACAAAATATCACTCAGACACACGTCAGACTGTTTGCCCATCAAAACATTTATTTAATTAATTTACCAGATCGTATTAATAGAGTCTTTGCAGAGGCCTCTTCATCTGTGACGTGTTGATGAACATGTTGAAGGTCTCACCTAAACAACATTGTTGTCTCGGAGGACACAAACAGCGGTGGCAGGGGGTGTGGTTCCTCTGTGTTATCTATGTCCGACATTTATTTCTTTTAATTCATATAAACGATCATTTGTGGATTTTGAAAACAAAAATTTTGTAAATAAAATGTGTGAAACCCTAAAAATAAATCTACATAAGTAAAGTATAGTTAAGTAAATTTACTCTGTTACATACAACTACCATCTAGACTCATTTGGTGAAGAAGTCTCATGGTCTCCATCATATTTATTCCCTGCATCACGTCTGGGCGGCTCCGTCACCAGCCACGTGTTATGGTTCTTTACCAGCTCCGAGTAGAATTATACTTAGTTCAGCTTTGTTTAGCACTTTTGTTCAGATGTTATCTCATGACCATGATTCATATCCTAATACCTCATTCAATGCTAAAATAATTTGATGCCAAAATCCTTCTGTCCTTGATGAACTCATGCGGGAGCTTTGTGATGAATTGTCGTAAAATTGTCGTTCAGACATTAATTCCATCTTATCTTATCTCATTTTATCTTATCTTATCTCTTTATGACCGTGTCATACTGACCGTGTCATACTGCTTAGTTTTGAAAGTATCCGGTACTTGACCCTTGACCCTGACCTGTCATTTCAGGGACAGAATTCAAACAACTCTGAAATTTGAAAAGAAAATCGACTTTTAAACAAGAGTATAATTAAATTGTTTTTTTTTTAAATAAACAGTCGTCTTCCTAAGACACACAGTATTCCACCCCAGCTGGTCACATTGATAGTCAAAGCAAATGAAAAACCACCCAGCTTCAACAGGAAATGATATTTAACTTTAAATCAAGTTGTCCTGCTGCTCATTTAGTTCATTTTTGATTGATTTGTGAAACAGGAAAGAGTTAATGGGACACCGCTGGTCTCATTGAGATATGACCCTTAAGAAACCCGTCACGCTGCAGACAAGTTGTCACCTTTAAGTGAAACCAAAGCCTCTCTGTCGGTCTTGCTTTATAATTGTGACATTCTCATGTTCTCATAGACGTACGTGTCTTGTACAATGTGTGATGGGCAGTCTGGGGCTGCCCTCTAATCCTGTAACTCTGTCTGAAGCTTGTGATCTTCTATTAACGCCGCCATTTCATACTCCACTCAAACAAGCTGCCATCAGGTGCTTCTCTCTCCCCCCACTTTTCCCACCGAGTGAAGTTTTGAGGATCATAAGAGAATTGTCTTAATTGCACCATCGTTATCGAGATCTGTAATAAGAGTGATGCTGACTTCGTCCAACTGTCCCTTTGTATCGTCCAAAATTTTAAAGGTTGTCAAGTCTTCCAACTGGATTATTAAATTACATGACAACCCAGAGAGAGAATTTCAGAATCTGTAACTGAAGAAAAGCCTGGCACCGGCCGGTTGCTTTGGATACAGACGGGTGACAAATCAAAAGAGAAACCTGAATAAAGGAGAAACAGAACAAATGCAGATGCTTCCACACCCGTAAAATCATTACCTCTATTTTTATTTCAAATAGCCATCTATTGCTTGATGTTACATCAGTTTTAAAATCATGTCTTCACTTTGCAACCTGTATTTACGATTTCAACCTTGAAAATGCTTTATTGAGAATGTTTGTGGTTTTTATAGAAGAAAAAAACATAATTTTCTTAATCTTGCTTTTCGTATTTGTTGGTGTTTTGGGGTCCAATACGTTTATATACTACGACAAATCGAAAAAATAATTGTCTGGTGATGTAATAACCTGAAAACAAAGACGCCAAACAGTGGGATGGTAAACTTTTTAATGTGGTCAAAAAAACAGCCCAGGGCTCCTGATGGTTATCATTCACTCATGCTCTGCGGCAGACAGTTGCTGAGCAGACCCAGTTTAATCCGACTCTGTCACAGTAACAGGTGGAAAAGATCTGTGACCTTGACAGAGGGTTCACTGTTGAGGCACAAGATGTCAGGAGCTTCAGTCGAAAAGATGCTCAACTGCTCGCTGCAATAGGAACAGCGACCAAAATGATATGTGCATTTAAATCCATGGGAAGGACAAAAGTGAATAGGGTGGGAAACTGCTGCGGACACATTTGATGACTGTGATGCTTCTGCATTTGTGTGATGTGCACAGAAGCTTGAGTAGTTTTTACTTCCACAAAGGAGATTATATTTTTGCCCTCGTCCAGGTTTGTTTGCCTTTTCAGCAGGATTCTTTTTTCCCATTCCACAAAACTTGATGGGAGGATGGAACATGGGCCTCAAAAGAACCAGCTGAGTTTTGGCATTGATCTGGATTAAAAGGTGGATGCAGGATATTAATTTTGACTTTGCGAGTCAATACTTTATGCATCTTGATGAAAAAGAATCATGCATGCAGGCATTAGAGAACTGATATCTATGAGTGTGTGCAAATCGATGCAGATTCAAGTAAAGACACTATAATAATGATAGATACTAGAGTATTTAAATGTGGTTTCATAAGAGGGCTGTTGTACCTTGTCCTTCCTGTGCCATTCTAGTTTTTACATTTTGTGTGGACCCCAGGAAGTGTCGCTGATGGGAATCCTAATCAAATTTAAAAACTCATTAAATTCTAGAGTATCATAAAGTTTAATGAGCTTATAATACAGCAGCAATCTATGACCTATCCTCTATAAATAATATTTTAATGCCCTAGTGATAGTTGTATCTCCATAACATTTCAAGCAGTACGAGACCTACGTTAATGCCTCAACACAAATGCACACTTTAGAGCGTGACATTATACAATATGAAGCAGACTGAGTCATATGAGACTGTACTGGGAATTCTGCCGGCTTCTAAAACGAGACTAGAACATAACTAGGAGGGAGTTGAGCGGGTCTAAATTTTTCAGATGCATGTTCTGATCTGTTGCCAAAAGAAGATGTTACACTTGAGTCAGGCTTGCAGACTGCTGGCTCTGCAGAATACTCAGCAAAGTACACTGACATACCAAATACTGTACAACATGAGAAAAAGCTCAGTCATCTACCGTCCAACTATTTCAGAATTCAGCGTACGTTTCAAGATGTTCTGAGCAAAGATCACCGGAGCAGTTGAAATATGCATTTCCACATTTAATAAATGTTCAACTGCAGTGAATAGAACATCTATGACCCTTCCACAGACGGAATACAGTTCATGTGACAAAAACACCTTAAAACATAATAATTTACACTCAGGACTAGTTTATAAGACTGAACTGGATGATACATTAGCTGCTTAATGTCCATTCATGATACATGAATCATACAGCTCAATAATGTCTGTAGGTTTAACCTACTTATTTTGCTTTTAAATCACCAATCGCTAGTGACGGCATTGAATATAAACCTATCTGTAGCTTTGAGTGACTCGTGCTTCAGATGATTCGATGTGTGCGGGACTCACAACATCAGAAAGTGTCTTTAAATGACAAACTGGTTCTGTGAAATCAGTTGCGTGGCTTTTTTTTCAATACTCGAACCAATTATAATCACAACAATGGCTTTGTCGTACATTTTACATGCAATTTACAGTCATCCAGGTCACAAAAAGAAAACTCTACATCCTTGAAATGAAAGTGCAGATATAAGTTTAACGTGTAACTCTTTGGAAAATGCAGTCATCTCCCCTCCTTCAGAAATATTTCCATTCATGGCACCACGTTGTATGTAAACAGTCGCCTTTTGGTCCATGAGCTGGTCTAATTCCATCTGGAGAGCACATCACACTAGTGAGAGCTTTATTTGATGCTTCAAAATACACGTCGCATCCAAAGGTTTCATAACTCACTCACTTTATAATTGAGAAGTAGTTCTTCTTCCCTATGAGCCGCATAATCCCTCAGGATTCTTCTTTGCTTCTTGCAGTTTCACTTTAAACTACCGGAAGCACTCAGTCTGTTCTCTTTGGCTCCAGATTTGATGTCACAGATCGCCCCTCTCTCATCTTTCACTCAGAATGGGAGCGTGTCCATGAAGATTTTGTCCACGAGTGGCGGAGGGGGAACAAGGTCTGCTAGTTTAAGGTAAAAGATTCGCTGGAGGCCTTGGGTGCACAGAGTTCGCAGCTCAGGCAGCTTCCCGAGAAGTCTGGACAAGTAATTGGGCCGCAAGGAGTCAGAGCCGCAGCCAGAGACGTGATCTTTAAGGCAGGTGATGAGCTGGTTCTGCAAGTCCTCCACACGTTTAGGCTCCTTAAGTCCATGCCGGTCTGCAGAGGAAAGTAAGAGCAAAATGAGCATGAGCCTTAAATCTGTGTCATTATGACTTTAACCAAAGAACACACATTGACTATTGTACGTGAAAGTTGAAACCAGGTTTATCTCATTTTCTTTTAGCTCATTTGAGTTTAATCAGGAGAATAGATGCAACTACTGCTGTGTGTTTTTGGTCAATCTTTTGTTGAACTCTACACCGTTAGCGTCGGCGTGTTGGCAGCGTCACTTCAGTCACGCTGGAACAATTCTTTGGCTTTTACTGAAAACATGTGGCTATGGTTAGTCTGCTGTGATATACATATAAGCCTCCCCTCTGCCCCATACGTGAGGTCGTGTTTCATTTTATTATACACCTGTCGTGTCAATCCCACATTGTGTAACTGCATTATTCAGTCCGCACCAGTGAAACCAGATTCCTCGCGCAAACTGTTCTCAAAGCCTGTGAGTAACCCTGAAGTTAAAGTGTGTACAAGTGAAGCTCTTACCGGTGATTATGACCAGAGCTGTGAGACAGGAGAAGGAGGAAACGTCAAGCTTCATGCGATGGAGACTTTGAGAAAACTCCAAGATGGAGTCAATCCAGTTCCCAAAGCCTCGGACGCACTGTGTTTTGTGAAGCACAGAGCCATTGCAGAAGATGAGCTTGTCCTTTTCAGGATTGGACCTTTGAAGAAGAAAATACAAAGTTATCCAGTGTCTCAGGGATGTTTGTTGTATCAGGATCGTGTCAGTTAGGTTTTCCAGGACGCTGCACTCACCGATATGCAAGACGAAGGATGAAGAGTTCGACAAACGCAGATTCCAGCAGCAGTTCCTGGTCCTCGGTGCAGAACTCAGAGAAACCTGGGATGCTCTTCGCCCACTTCTTGATCATCTCCATGGAGGCCGTGAGAAGGTCATAAAACTGTTTGATGTCGCTAGCGTCCTCTTTCTGGTTCGGACTAATCTCTGTCTCTTCATACTGAAATTACAGCAGAGACGTTTAGACGGATGCATAAATCAATTATTGCGAAGGAACAGTAAAAGGACGCGTTTCCATTTTCTTACCTTGGAATAATCAAGTTTCCCAATGTCAGGGGTTGAGTCAATGTGCGCCCTCACAAGTGAAGCTATCATGCTCACAGGAGACACTGTAGTCGTCACCTCCTGGACGACTTTGGGCTTGGAAGGTAGGCGACCTCTTCGTCCTTTCAGACTGTCTGTTCTCACAACTGGAAAAATGGCAGCATCAAGGTTAATTTAATTTGATCTATATCATCCTTATTATTCAGCAGTGACTCCTCTGGTACTGAACTCACCTTCCCTGACCATTCCTACAGCCAGACACTTCTGGAAACGGCAGAACTGACATCTGTTCCGCCTCCTCTTGTCCACAGGACAGTCCTTGGTGGCAAGGCAAACATATTTGGAATTTTTTTGCACTGTACGCTGTAAAAGAAAAGGGAGATTACTTTAAAATGTCTCAAAGACATAAAACATTATGTGTCAGGTTTTCTTGTCCTATTAAAAACATGTCTCTTAGAAGTCAGATTTTATTACCTTGAAAAACCCTTTGCATCCCTCACAGGTTCGAACCCCGTAGTGCTGACAGGAGGCGTTGTCTCCACACACAGCGCAGCAGCCCTCGTTTCCACTTAGGCTTTTTAACTTTGGTGATAGGCCTCCATCAAGCTGATCGCTGCCGTCCAGGCTAAGGGCTGACTCTATCGACATGGCATTGAAGGTCAGTGCAGAGGGGTGAGGGTGGTTCAAAGTGAATAGGTCCTGGTCTCGTAAATGTGGTTGACCCAAATCCTCCACAGACCCTGATCCAAATGTGAAGAAAGAGGGTGCATGTGACACTGACGTCTCCTCAGCTGCCCAATATCCTGGACTGGGCGAGAAAGAGCCAAAGGCTAAATCCCAGGTGGACGCCTGCTGACTCTGGAACCCGGGAGTTGAAGGAGAAGAGGTTGAAGTGGTGCTGCCAAAATAATCTGACCCAACAGGGGACAAGACCTCATCTGGGTAGCTCAGCGTGAACGTCCCGGGGTAGCAGCCATAAACCTGAAGGTCATCCAGCTTGAAGGGGGTCTCCTGGCCTGATGAAGGAGCGACGTGGGCAGGGGTGGCAGTGACTTGGCACGAATATGCATCAAGGTCGCCCGCTGGTGTGCCCACCAGAGAGCTGATGCTTGGCAGGGACGGAGCGGAGGCGTGGTCCCGTGGGCTGCTCATATCCACAGCCAGACTGGACATGAAGTCTAGCTCAGAGCTGCAGATGCTGTTCTCGAACTGTTGAGATCCATGTTGGGGGTAAATGCAAGTCATGGCTGCAAAACAGAAAAAGACATCACGCAAAATGTTAGAGCCAAACAGGATCTTCATCTTAACTCCTCAAGCCGGGAAAAGGACCCTGCTTTGGGTCCATTTCCCCCTCTATTTGCACAGCATTACATTATTTATTTGCTGGAATATTATATAAACCTCAGTCTGCTATTCGGGGAAATTCAAATTTGGAGATTAGGTGATAATGCAATCCTTAAGATCCTTATAAAGTCAGATGATGTTATTTTATTAGCAGTGCAAATCCCCAAAACAGATACATTTAAACACTTAATATGAAGTTTAATTCAACCAAAGTCGGGTTAACATTCATAAATTCACTATAATGAGTGAAAACTACACAACGTATTTCTGTTCTTCATAGCAACAGTCTTAAATAATCTCATCATATGTCTCGGCTCAGATGCACATGTCACATGTGCAGGCACAGTAATGTAGGGTTGACTTTCACACAGGGCACAACGCCAGATCATAAAGCAACTTGGATTTCCTCACCTAATCTTACACCAGGACATAAATTAAAGTGCAAACAGTGTTTAGATTCTTATCCATCATTCTTCAAAGAGGAATTAGATTAATCCCGAACAACAAGCCCACACAAACAAACAGAACTATCTTTAGAGATAGAGGACCAAGGGGTCCAGCAACAGATTATCACAGATCTCAACATCATGGAGTCCGTGTGGGATCACATGAAGAGACGAGACTATAACTCCACAGAGGAGCTGTTCTACAAGATGCATGGAACACGCCAAGTGTACTGAGGAGAACATGAAAATGTTATGCTGTTGTTTTTCTGTGCGATTGATCATCATCATTTTTTTAATTCCTTAATTTTTCTCCCACAAATATCTGGAACTTTAAACCATTACTTTTAAAAGCATCTCTGTTTGTTTCTAGAGCTTTTGTGGAGTGATGCATATTGATGGCCACGCACAGAACAATACATTTAAGATAAGATCAGAAAAACAGGCTTCGGTAAGTTATAAGTAACATGCAATACTAAGTTTAAGGAATATTTAAAAAATATAGAAAAGTATGCATGTAATTAAACTAATATATACAGAGTAAACACAGGGGAAATATGTGTGAGAATGTGTACAGTGACTGGATGGCACAGGAACCACTGATATTGCACAGACAGGTGAATATAGCACAGTTAAGAGAGTCCATCATTTCATAAGGGACATATCTGTTGTTTCTGCACCGAGCAGAGATGCATGTGGATATAACACAACACAATAATAATGTGAATATAACTTCACACGGTGAATCTGTGAGTCCATGTGTCATGAAGTGTCTGGTTGCAGTTCATTGTGATGAACGGCTGCTGGTTGACAGATAATCACGATGTTTTAAAAATGTCTCATATAATATTTCTCACCTGTTGAGTTTTTATCCGCCGCGTGTCATCGTCCCCGTCTCTCAACTGAGGCGCGCTCCCCCCGCGCGCTCACTGCGCCTTTATACCGGCAGCGTTACCGCGTCCGTGACGTCACCACAACTCTTTCCATACAAGGGCTCGCGCGGTGGGCGGGGAGATTTCCAGCCTCCGGCCAATCACGGCCCGCGTTCGAGAGCGCGGTCGAGGGGATGACGCACTCCGGGATTCCGTTGACGCACACACACACACACACACACACACACACACAC